TCTCCATAGGCTCTGTGCTCTCCTGGAGGACAGATAAAGGGCTCCTTACTCCAAGGTTGAGAGCCTCCCTGTTCCAGCCCCCAAATGGAGGCCTTTGGTGGGTACTGACCTGTCCATCCCCACTTTGCCTCTCTCCAGTCACAGTGCCTTTGGTGTCAGGCTTCTCTTCACCCTTCTCTTCTTTTGCTGAAGAATTAGCAGCATCGTTGGCTTCTGATTTCATCTCCACTTTGGAGTTTTCCTCTTCACTGTATTCCCCTTCTTCACCCTGAGAAAAGTTTCTCTGTCAGCCGTGGTGCACATTTTTATTCTCCATTATTTAGGAAAACATTTTCTACCAAACTTAAGAATTAAAAGCAAACATAACAAAATTCTTTCTAGAATTTCTAGAGAACAGGAACACTAAAAATAAAGTCACATAAAAAATGTCCCCCAAAATTTTTACCTACATATACATATGCTTATACTGATCTATATGAGCTTTCCAGATATGCGAGCAACTGTTAACAGTGGCAGACTCTGGGGAAGGAGCCCAGGGGATACGGATGGGAAGCTTTACAGTGCCTAGCACACAGAACAAGTTTAATCCTTGTTGATAATTTCTCTCCCCCTCCACGAACTGTTTCTTAAACATGCAGTGTCTAATAACTATATCCTAACTCAAGTTGTGAATTCTCTCATCTCAAATGGCTTAGAGCACAGATGTCCAACCTTTTAAATTATGTGGGCCCCTTTTTAGGATCTAAAATTTTCATGAATCTCCATAAGACAGCAGCTCGGTACAGTATCCACTGACTGAGAAAACATGACAAACTGCTATACAGTCGATAATACTTTAAAATATATTTACAGTTTATATATATTCAAAATAGTAGTATGTAAAGGTGAAAGATGTATAGTCTATAAATGAGAGCTGAGGTAGTGGATTTGCAAGCCCCTCATAAAAACGCCATGATTTCCCAAGACACCATTATCCTCAAGTTGGAAAACAGTGGCTGACATTTTTGATGTCTACGATTACTAAACTTTCTGCAGCTTGAGATCCCCCTAGTCAAAAACTCTGTCCAGAATTACATAATTATAAAATTTTGACTTGGAAAACTTTAGAGAACATCATAGAAATTACATCTTAGAAATGAAAATAAAAACTAAAGTCCAAGTGCTCTCTTTCCTCTCATCTTTTCCCTCTTTTGCCACATTAAGATTAAATAACCCTGTTTGTGACAGAGAAAGTGGTAGGTCTGTCCACACAAAGGAGGGTCCTTAGGTCATCCTCTAAATAGGGGCCATAAGGAAAGGTAATAGAGCTGTGGCTAGTTCTAAGCAGGGAAAAGGAGAAGCTAAGGTTCATGCTAAGGGGAATGGCTTTAGAACAGTTACTCTTAACCTCCTTGTCCTCACAGGACTTGGACCTAAGGAGGCAGAGCTATAGGCTAGGGAGGTAGGTTTAGAGACCTGTGAGGACACAAAGAAATGGGTTCGAGGGAAGGTAGTCTAGTCCCCACTGCTGAGTTAACATGTCAGGGTTACACCTCTGCCAATACACCTCTGCCACCTGGTAGATACGTGTATAAAAGGTCTCTTATTCTCCTCATGAGTCTTGACACTTGACCTGAACCAGACCCTTTCATAACTGTAGACCCAGGAAGGCCTCAGGAATCTGATCAAAGAAACTTGCTGTAAGATTCCTGATGAAGCAAGCAGCTCTCAAAGTCTGGGTTTCTGCCTTTTCTTCAAATAGAGATGAGTTCGCCTGATAGGCCCACACAAGCCAATTAATTCCTCTTCCCCATTCTCCCGTTAAGCATCTGGGTATTTTGGCCTCTAAGTGTTTTGGGTTAGGATTCCCAGAAAGGTGATTCTGGTAAGAAATACACAGAATTGAGACTACTTGACCACTCCTACACTATGGGAATCAAGTCTTTACCCATAGCTTTATTTTTTTGAACAACCAAGCACCCTTGATTCTTCTCATTTTCCTTCAATCATAAGTTTTCCCTCCACTTGAGATGGGGATAGGTGGGTGGTAAACATTCAGTTATTTCCTTGGTCATATGTTCCCTGCAGATTCTGAAGCAGAAATTGCTAGAATCTTGCTTGGTGTGTACATGTGACCGTAATTCATTATACCCCCCACCCCCAACACACACACACACACACATACACCGCATTCAAAAATCTTAAAACAATATCAGCATTATTAATGAGGGAAGTATGTTTTATGCTCCACCTCCTCTAGTCTGTGGTGAAATGCCAAATGAAGCAACTCTTTTATTTTAAATGAGACACTACTTTTGTTTCCAAGCAGAACAGAAAGATACAAATAGCATAGTGCTGAGGAGACTCCAAATTAGAGTCAAAGTCTGGTCTAACTGAAGCCAAAGTGCTACCTTTGGGTCATGCTGCTTTGGCTGAGGGCTGACATCAAAACCTTTTTCCAAAGACAAACTCCCCTGCTGCTAATTCCACCACAC